GGGCAATTTTTTTTTTTTTTTTTTTTAAGCCATCAATGGGCCGAATGGGTCGCGAATCCCCAAAAGTCCCTCGCGGCCCTCCGGCCGCCAAGGAACGAAACGATTCTCTTCCCTTTAATTTCTGTCATTTATATGCAAATTATATAATAATTTAGGTCATTATTATTTAGGTCGCGATAATAAAGGTCATTTCATCTTCGAGACTGGCGGAACTTGCGGCGACCGCAGAATTGGCACGACAGGTCCTGTCAAATCTTGCAAAAAAAATTTGGCAACAGTTCAGCCCAGAACGAACGAGCTAATTAATTAATTAATTACCATCGTGCAACGAAGGCGGCATCTCTCGTTTCTCCTTGCAGGTGCACGTTCGTGCTGCCCGGCCGAGACGTGGACGGGCGACGGGTCGTCTTCCACGTCGCGAGTGAGTCCTTCCATTTCTGCCTTCATTTTTTTCGCGTGCCAAAAATGTGCCAAACTCGAAGGAGTCGATTCCGCGCCGATCGGTGGGCGCGGAACGAATAAAGGAAAAATAAAATGTGACAACATAAAAAGCAAAACTTAAAAAAAAAAAACTAATTTAAATATTCATGAAAGTTAATATGAAGTATTTAAAAAAAATTCATTCAATTCATGAAGGAAAAAAAAATTCATTCAATTCATGAAGGAAAAAAAATTAAAATACGTAAAAATAAAGCGGGATTCGAAATGGAACAGGGAGAGTGGACATCCACCGCTGGAAGTCGGCCGACCTGGTCCGGCTCTACCACCTGTGCCTGGAGAGCCTGATCGAGGAGGACGAGGAGCAGATCCGGGGGATCTCGCATGTCATCGACATGAGGGAGGCGTCGTTGCCGTATCTCATGCTGTGGACGCCGGTGCAGTTTCAGAGGGCCATCTCGCACGGGGAGGTCTGGAATTGTTTTTTTTTTCTCCTTGAATTTTTTTTTTCTCCTTGAATTTTTTTTCTCCTTGTATTTTTTTTTCTCCTTGAATTTTTTTTCTCCTTGAATTTTTTTTTTCCTTTGAATTTTTTTAATTGAATTTTTTTTTTACTGTGAAAAATTCAAGGTTTCGAGGATCAAGTTGGAATTGTGATTTGACCGATGATATCTTGAATTTAAATTATATATTTACTTTAATTTTTTTGTTATTTATTTTTTTTTTGTCGTACGGAATCTCTGAGAGTTTAATCGATGTTAAATCTTTGCAACAAGGATGATTTCATAATTTGAATTTCGTATTTCGAAATCTCCCTATTGCTTCCTCCTACCTCTTGCGTGGGAGCTCCTGATTGGTCGATACCAGTCTGGGACTCCCTGATTGGTCGATACCAGTCTGGGACTCCCTGATTGGTCGATACCTGTCTGGGACTCCCTGATTGGTCGGTTCGAGTCTGGGACTCCCCGATTGGTCGATTCGAGTCATTACTGACCGAAGCTAGGAAAATTTCTCTTTCCAGAGGTTTCTGCCGATGAGGCACAAGAGAGTGGACTTGTTCAACCCGCCGATGGGGACCTGGATCATCTACGAATTCTGCAAGCACTGCTTCAGTGAGAAAATTCGCTCCAGAATGAAGGTACGCTAAATAAATAAATAGGTAAATAAAAT